ATTTGGTCTGGGCCCGAGGTGGGCTTAATAGCCGGCGACTACTGTACAATCGTCCAGGCACGAAGTCACTTAATAAAAAGATATTTTCTGTTGCTTTCATATCTACAGGTAAGTCAACGAAATTGAGATGTATACTTAGGTCCTCAAGAATGAAATGCAGAAAATGAAGTAGGTAGACCATGTCCACTCACCGGATCCTTGACAGCATGTTTTTGTAAGCTTCCATCTAATAAAACATCAGCAAGGGTTAATTTCGAGTCACAAGTCTGGGTTAGAAGCCAAATAATAACATTAGTTTACATTTTTAAAAGCAAGTAATCTTCATAATTCAAATTCGAGGGGTGCTAACTGAAAATAATAATTATTAGAACTCTGGAGCTTTTATTTATGGGTTAAATGATTACTACTAGAAACAAATAAGTACGCAACTGTATTCTGTGGCACGTTGCGTTGGTCAAACATTCGATAACGTACGCAGTTTGTTCACTTCATGGGAGACGAGGCAGGAGTTGTCCTTCGCGGATTTTAAAATTCCATTTGCTCTGGGAATGTGAAAAAGGTATGTACGCTACTACTTAATTAAAAATACTTCAAATTGAATTCTCGGGATATGCATATTAAAAAGGTCATCATGTAGTCTCACTTAGTCTCCATACGTTCATGACGAGTTAGGACGGAATTCTCTACGACCTGCTCCTCAGCTTGCAAAAGGGCGATTCTGGCCAGGCTTTCGATTGTGGCAAAGGCCTGATGACGCGCAGTGATTTCTTTGTCCACTTTTGTCGCCGGGTCATCTGTGAATTTGCCCCTAGATAGCGAGCCTCGTGTAACGCCGCTTACTGGTATGAGGGGAGGAGGAGTATGGAGGAAAGAAGGGTGCTAAAACGATGTGATTCAAAAGCACTCATGGAGGCTTCCTATGCCCAGCTAAGATATCAGTTCACTCTTATAATCTGGCTGAAAGACCATAGTTGAATGGAACAAATTAAAAGCTGCTTTGCACTTACCCTTTCCGTAGATACAGCAAAACAACCTCAGGAAGCCCTCGATGAAGGTGAATGGCGGAGGAAGAATAAAGCGCGCGCTGTACTCATTCAGCTGCAGTAGTCTATCGTATTTCCAAATCTCAATGGCAGCTGCCTCAACGTCGGCAATTACATCGCTGAATTGTTTAA